CATTTCAAGATTTAACATGCCATACACCCTACCACACAGAGTGCAAGGCATAGGAGACTTTGAAAAAGCTCATTAGTGGATAGGATTATCAATGAGTATTGAAATTCAACTTGCAGTTAAAGTTTTAGCCATATTTTGAAGAATTTTACAAGTTTTTATATCAACTTCATATTAATAAGTATCCTGAAAAGGTTTCCTTTCACAAAGCAAAAGTTAATAACAAATTTAATGGCTTTTTGATCTCTCAACATTAGGATAATAACACCGTTCTGTAGGGTACTGTTAAAGTACATCAAACCTGACCTAAAAAAGGGGGCAGGCAAGCTCGAGAGATCTGGACCTTCTTTCAGAGCCCTGCATCTGGGATCGACTGACTCTCGGTCCGATCTTCTGGCTCACTGCCTTTCCCCATCAGCATCATCAGCCTGATGATCATTGCGATCGTTGGGATTCGTGATCATGGACTTGCAGACGATCATCAGCGAGGAGTGGACCCTTTTGGTGTGGTCCGAGGACCGAGGTCCGGGGTCCGAGTTACGAGTCCGAGTGGTTTGCATCTCGGTGATCCGTGGAAGATTGATGTTAATGTCGGCATCGCCCTGGTGTGAACACACTTATTCGCATATTTGTTTTGCAACCCTGCCATTGGGCCACACACGAAGCTGATGGTCGTCCGAAGGTCCGGCTATCGCCGCTAATAGAGCCATAAAGCGAACATTTATTGATCTACAAATTATTTGGGGAGCTGCCGCTGGGGATCAGCTTCGATCAGCTTTTGGTTTTTATTTTTTTTTTTTGGCTACTTTCGTGGGCTATCTAAATATTCATTAGTGTCTGGGCGGCTTGATTGGTCGGTCGATCGCCTCAGAGATCGCTGCGTTCTTCGATTTAATTTTATTTTTATAGCTCCCCCACCGCCTCTCAACCTTCCCCGAAAAGAACCCGCTGACCACCGCAACCGAGAAAAAAGCAAATAAACAAACACTCTCCCGATAGCCAAGCGATGCCTTTCGTTTCGGGTGGTCCGACGAGATCAGTGGCTCTGATGTGTTCATTAGGGTGAAAGCCAAACTAACTCCCAGACTTTGACTGATCTAATTGGGGAGAAACTGGAGCCGAAGATTGAAACAGCTAGACTGCGGATTGCGTTAATTGAGAGGCCATAAAAGTGCACTAATTTAGTCGAAATATCCATAGAAGCGTAAAATGTTCACACCTCAATTGCACAAAGCCAGAGCAACGTGTCTATTAAGGTGCGCTAAGCTTGAGATACATCTATAGCTGGAAAATCAGTTACAGATACAGATACTTTGGCCGCCCATATCGGTGTCTGTTGAGGTGTACTTGAGGCCTCCGCCAAACTCAAACTCAATCCCAGTTGCAGTTCCAGGCCACCTGATGCCCAGCATTGCCGCATTGCCGGATTGATTACAGTTTCTTAATGAAATTGTTTGCTAATATCAGCGGAAAATGCGGTTTGCAATTTGTCAAACCAGTTGTGGCCACCTCATGGACCCAATCAATGCTATAGGTGTAAGCGATATCTCTGGCAGGGTATTAAATCGCTAAAGGTGTGAGAGCGCGTAAAAGGTTGCCACGGAATTCGCTGGGATCATTGAGGAATCTCTGTCTCATAAGGAGTTTTCCAAGGCGATTATCTCAATCAAACCATATTTAATGTTATTGTTATGTTCGTCTCGAATTACTCAACAATTTTATGGTTATTTTAGATTTTTATGGGTTTCCATATGGGTTTTTAAGGGGTTAATAAGTCTAAGTACTCCCACTATCAGCTAAAACCCCCTTTAAGCTAATAAAGAACTGCTTTTCTGATGGTGTAATTATAGTATTTCCCAAGCAGGTTAGCTTTCCTTCCACACTTTCATTTGCCGACTTCAAATCGCGTTTGAGGCAACATGTTTTGACACCTGCAACTCGCCCCTGGGGCATATTCAATGAAGCGCCCTGCGATGATGAAAGAACCGCGAGGACAACTCACCTGCCCCGCCAGCAATTTCATATGCAAAGCATATGGCAAGGGCTATGCAAATTAGACAAAGGCAGAGGCAGTCTTAGTAATAACAACAAACAAATAGCAAAAGACCGCACTGATAGAGCAATTAAGAAATATGCTTAAAAATATTTTCATGCAGGAGAGCAAATTATGCGATGGAATGCTGTTGCTAGCCTTTGGCGTTGGTAGCTAGTTAGGCCGGACGGGTTGAAATGGCTATTTTCGAGCTTCGAGTCGGAGTCGGAGTCGAAGTCGTATCGATTGAGCGATAGACAAAATGCTGGCAAAGTTTTGCCAAGCTATATACGATCAACATCGATCGGCATCGTTTGTCATCCGGCGATTGCGATTGCGAGTGTCGCGCTGTCCGCGTCAATCACTTCAATTAAACGTGCAATCAAACCGATGAGCGACGCGTCGTCATGTCAATATTCATCAGTGTCGCCAAAACCGCAGCGTTAATTTGCCTGTCTGCCAGGTTGGGTTTTGCGTGGGTTTTAGTAATCTCCGATTAGTGATCATCGTTCAGCAATCAGAACTATGAATGCCGAAATTAACCACCGATCAATCATCATCGAACGCTTTCACTTTTCACATGTAAATTTCCCCCCTTCGACTATGTGTTGTCTTTTATGGCTTATTAATGATCTGGGCTCGAATGTGCGATCATTAGAGACAGATACGAGTCGAGATCGTCTCGAGAAACAGATCGCTTACATCGAAGCTCGGCGATTGAAAGCCTATGTTGACTGGTTCTCGATCTCGGCCAGACCGGCTCCAAAAGCCATCGGTATCTGAATCTGTACATCTGTATCTCCATATGTACGAGAGAGTATCTGTATCTGTATCTGTATCTGTATCTGTTACGATTTCTGGCTCCCCAGTGACGCGCTTTCAAAGTGGTCTGTGTGTGGCCCGTTAGTTTGAGATCTTTATAAGTCAATTTCGGTGTTGTTTGTGGCATTTGCTGTTGCAGTTGCTGTTGCAGTTGCAGTTTGGTTGCATGAGTTACTAGTGTCGTAATGGAAAACTTCAAACGGATCCTTGGTTATTTGGTTCCTGAAGGAATCATCATCATTCCTTTGGCTTAATTGCCGCGCTCTCAGCCAGCAGCAGCAGCAGCAGCAGCGGGCAGGCAAGCAGGCAGGTTCATTCATTTGGATCCGCCTAAAAGGTAACTCACCTGGTCGCCGAGATTCCTTTTGTGCTGCTGGCAACTGCTGCTGCTTTTGGCATTTGCAACTCATGTTAAGCATAAATAAAACAAATGCGTTTATTTTAAACATATGCCCCAGTGGCCGTGGCAGAAGAAGCCCGCTTTTTGCCCGCTCACTTGGTTAGCAGTTGGCTTCGCCAAGTTGGGTCATTGAGGCTGCTGATGAAGACATCTTCCCGTTTTTGTTTTTGTTTTTATTTTTGTTTTTGCTTTCTTTGCCGACTGTTGTCTGTTCTGGCGAAGTTGTTGTTGTTGTTTTTTGATGAACAGGAATTTATGTGAATGTGCGTCTCGGCTTTTTGTTTATTTTTGTTAGTGGCTTACTAAGGAACAAGGCCAATGCTTGACTTCTTTTTGCTGGATTTGGTTTTGTGGTTAAAAAGTAAGGAAAGTGCGTTTTTTGGGGGGTAATTGTTTGATTGCAAGCGGTTTAGCAAGGCAGCTTGAGAGGCGCAGAGGAGGCAGATTCGTTTGAGGATAGTAAGGTTGAGAGTCGCGGAGAGGGGATCTTCGTCTGTCTAAGCTTACGTAGTTACGTAAGCCATTTGAGAAGCGCGGAGAAGGGCGCTAGACTAGTAAGAGACAGGGAAGTTTAACATTAAATTTGACTTTTTTGGTCCCTTAAGATCATAATATATATATAGTTGATAATAAATGAAACATTTTTATACCATTTTAAAGACATTCAAGGCTATTCGCAAACCCGTAAAAAGTGATTATCCCTTAATAATGATCTTCCATTCTTTACTCTCTTTACAATCACCACTAACAACTTTCCTTTACAACCTCCTCCACATTGATTGAGTTCATATAATTTGTATTAAAGCCAATTTAAAGTAACCCCCATTAAAAAACAACAACCTCCCGAAACTTCCCCATAGAAAAACAACTTCGAAACTTTTATTGTGTCAAATTTGCGCAGCAGAGCAATGAAAAATTTAGCACGCTATAAATCACAATTTCCAGCAAAGGAGAGGAAAAAGATTTCATGCCTGGCAATTGTTGCATTGTGAAGGGTTTCTTATTTTTTTTTTTTTGCCAAAAAGGAAAGCTGCCAACCCTCTAGAAATGTCCTGGCGACGCTTTGGCATGCAGCTCGAGTTCGCTTATCTCCGCTTGCCAACATGCGTTTTCCTTCAGGGGTGGGTGTTTTTCTTTTCCGGGTGGGAAAGGGACGGAGGTCACCATGACTTGGATTTTCCTGTCGTCATCGTCTCCCGGCTGTCTGACAGGTTCAAGGTCTGATTTTCCTGCTGCTCCTTCACCTCCGCCCTCCCCCCGCCGGACTGTTTGTTTTTATTGTCGGCTGCGTGTGAAATTTAAAACCGTGATAACACCTTACAACAGCCACGCCCACTTGTCAACCCCCCGCCCAAAGATATTTTGTTTTTTTGGTTTAATTTCGCGCCCGTCGGCAGCTTTGGCATTTTGTTGACAAAATTGATTTGTTCAATTTTTCCAACGATTTAACTTAGGGCATGACTTGGTTGCGTTGCCATTAGTGCCGCTACATTTGTTTTGAAGGTTGTTGGGCGTTCGTTCAGTGGGCGTGGCTGGCTGGCTGGGTGGTTCTACGGGAATTTTTGCACGTTTCCAACATTCACCATTAGAAAGTTTCCGCTGAGTCGCGCTGACGTCGAGGAATTTAATCAATTTCCGATATTTTATTGATTCGCGTTAAAAGCAAATTCAATTTTAAATTGTCCCAAGCCGTTTTACCTTAAACGTTCTAACTTATATCTCTTTCTTTCTCTCTCTCTCTCATTGCAGGACGAAGTAAGTACGACAAGGATGAAAACTGGAACGCAGTGAACTAGAAATTTGTGGATCGATATGATGATGGTTAATATAGTTTGAAAGAGGGGAAGGGCATAGGTTAGAAAGTTAGTAGTAGAGGTTTGGGTTTGGTGCAGAATTATGAAAGTTTAAACTTTAAAGAGACTGGTAGCTAAATTTATGTTTATTATTTCCGATTTGTGAGTTTCTTGAAGAAAGAAGTATAAATATATATCTAGGGAGTAGTACAAGACTTACTTTTTAAGTTATGGTTCATCTTAAACTGTTTACTTTTTGATTTATTTACTTTTCATTTTAGGAATTAGTAAATTTCTAAACAGAAAAATCAGATTTTTTCCCTTTCAAAAAATGTAAATTTGAATATTTTACTTAACTTTTTCTTAACCAACTTTTTCTTAAAACAAGCAGCTAGCATCTTACCAAGAAGACTTCAAATCGATTTCCCTAGAGTCTAGGACCTAGACGTCTTCCCCTAAAAGCTTAGCTCACCCCCCCCAAGACCCTGGCAACTGCCTTATGATAGATGGAGCTCTTAAATTACAAAATACTTGCCACATATTTGAGCTTCGTTTCGTTTCGAACATCTTGCGGTCACTTGACTTGGGTTTTCCTTTTGACCAAAATATTCCCATTAGTGGAAACCTCATAATCGCTTCATCTCTCGTTTTCCATTTGCATTTCGGTTACAGTTTTCCCAACTATTTCCAAAATGAGACCGAACTTTGAAATAGAATTTTATTTGCCTGTCGTCTTGGCGGAACTTTTTAAGGGGGGGACAAACCCACATCAAGTGGAGCAATTCTCTGCGCCTGTCCGCCCCGAATGCTGTTAATTAAATCGAAGACAACTCAAGTCGTTCCCTCGTTGGGGGGTAGCTTTTCCAAGGGATATCCTTCGGGAAAATTAGCCACAGTCAAAAGTCATTGCGTTGATTACTTTTTGAAAATGACGCCAGCAAATTTCCAAGCGGAAAACTTTAATTGTTTTAGCTGGTGAAGGTTTGGAGAGGGGGGTAGGAAGGGGAGTTTTTGGGCTGGATGAGAAATGGGGCCGCTGAAGGACGTTACCCCGTAGCCGTCTGAACGCATTTAAATGTGAATTAATTGCCGGCCTGCGCTGCATATATGAGGAGCAGGATTTATGTCCGCCCGATGAGTCGGCAGTCGGGCAGGTTGAGGTCCATGTACAGGTCGTGGTCCAGTCATGTTGGTGCCATTAAGCGCTCCCAGGAATTTTTATGACCTCCGGACTCATCTCATCTCATTGTGTTTTCCTCTCCTCTTTTTTTGTTGCAGGTCCACGAGCGCGAAAGCCCAAGAAGCCGGCGTCGTCCAGCTCAGCGGCAGGTGGCGGAGGCGGTGGTGGCGTCGAGAAGGGCGAGGCCGCCGATGGGGGCGGTGTGCCTGAGGACAAAAGGCCGCGAACGGCCTTCAGCGGTACGCAGCTGGCCAGACTGAAGGTAAGATAGTTTGTGTATCTTTCTGGCTGTATTTTAGTTAGTCATTAAAGGGATTAAAGGGAACAAAGGGATTATGATTCGGAAAATCTCACTTAACACACTTTCCATTACTTTCTTTCACCTCCAGCACGAGTTCAATGAGAATCGTTATCTAACTGAGAAACGCCGCCAACAGCTGAGTGGCGAACTAGGCCTAAACGAGGCCCAGATCAAGATCTGGTTCCAGAACAAGCGGGCCAAGCTGAAAAAGTCGAGCGGCACCAAGAACCCTTTGGCCCTGCAGCTGATGGCCCAGGGATTGTATAACCATTCGACCATACCGCTGACCCGCGAAGAGGAGGAGCTGCAGGAGCTGCAGGAGGCGGCCAGTGCCGCTGCCACGAAGGAGCAGTGCTAGACCGAGGGGTTTTCCAGCAATATCTACGATCTAGTATTTATGGATTTAGCGTGTAAGGCTAGCTAATAGGAATCCTAAGCGATTAAGTTGTACAATATTCTAGTCCAGCGGACACGCAACCAGCAGAAGAAATCTACCGAAGAATTGAGAGGCCCCTCCACTGAAGAAAACGAAACTGTTGCGTGTGCGTTTTGTATAATAGATTCATAAATTCACAACTAAATAATTTAATAAACATTTAAATTATACACGCCGTGTTGTTGCTGTCGTTATCAAGGAATTTTGCATAATTTTAATTTGATTGCCATATCTGTTTATGGTCCGCGGCCAATCGACCAAGTGGGTGGTCTCCATCTATAGTCTAGAGATATGGCTAGTAGATATATCTAGTGGATATAATCGTGGGCGTCGGCATTAATTACTCAATTAGCAATGCGCGGATCAAAAGATTGGTCGCCGGCTTGGCAATTGCTGGAATTACATTCGAATTAAATTCATTATGCAAATTGAATTTGAAAACTGTTATCTCTGAGCATAATCACGCCTAATAAACGACGTCTCGTCTCGTCTCTCTTCTCTCTTCTCTTTAAAATCCAAAACATTAGCTACGTATATTATTAAATTCCCTCCTTTAGCTTGCTGGCCCCTCTTGTTTTTTCGCTCCCTCCTCTAATTTAGCCATTAAATTTGCATACAGTCATCAAATCCATATGTGTGTGTTTGGGTACAGGTGTGTGTGTGTGAGTCTGCCAACGGCACAAATTGACACCTTGACGGCCAAAGCGGCGTCAAATGCGACGAAAGCGGCGCCCGCTCTGCCGCGCTTTACCTTTGTTTTTGCCTTTGCTTTTCGGCCAAACTGAAGTGCAGCGTCAACTTCGTGTAGGTGTTAAATGTGTCTGTCATTGCAGGCGGCGTCATGGTTTAAGGCGGCAGGGGGTGGTGGTGTTAGTGGTGTGGGCAAGGCGGTACAGTGGATCACAGTGGCACGATACAGAGGCCGAGCGAAGTGGAAGCTTACATAAAGCTAAACTAAAGGTAAGGTGTAAATAAAAAAACTATAAAAATTAATTAATTTGTTTAGTATTTTAAAAACTACTCAAAACTATTGAGATTTTCAAAGATTAACAAATATTTAAAAGAAGTTTTCCAAAGGCATTCTCTCTTTCGGATTATTTTTGACCACCAATTTGTCTTAGCTTTCTTAAACCTTTAACCTTTCATCTCATCTTTTTGTTTACCAATAAAAGCAACTAAAAACCCATCAAACCATAAACCAAATGTATAACAAGTATAGCAAAGTATAAGCCATTAAATGGAATCTTTAATTTGTGGCTTTGGCTTTGCCTTATTTCGCTCGACTGACTAACTGGCAGGCCAACAACAAATTCGCCGTTGCCTTCGAAAGAGCGCGAAATCAAAAAAAAAAAAAAACGTCTTAATTCGCCGTGAATGATTTACGGTTTGGTTTTGGATTTCACATTGAAGGCGACATTTGTTTGTGTAGCAACCAGGCAGGGCAGGCGAACAAAGGCGAGCGTCGATACGCCATACGTATGTAGGTACGTAACGTAATAACGTTACGTTTGGCAGTTTATTTGCGCGCCATCACACAGTGCGTGGGAGTTTTCCGCGTGGCCTAAGTGATTTTTTATGGCACGCGTCTGGGGAAGATATAACTTCATAAAAAGTCAATTTAAGTTTAGTAATATTTTGCTGAATTTATAGTTGCGAGTATTTTGTTCAAGCATAATTTTTTATAGCCTTTTCTGGTCTGGCACACGGAGTTAAACTGGATTTGGATCGCTCATGGGGGTTTTGAACTTTTTTTTGTTTGTTTTTTTTTGCTGTTTTGATGCGATCTGCATGAGTCATGGTGTTGCGAGTATATTACGTTATAAATTCAATAAATGTGACCATAAAAAGGCCCATTCAAATACCTTGTCCGCGTACATTAATCCCGCTGTCCTGCGACTCAAGATCCCCCCTCTTGTAACCGCCCCTTTGTAAGTCCCCTTTTAACCCTTTGCAGCCACACATTACAACGCCTCGAATGCTGCCGCAAAACGGCTGAAACTCCTCGAAAACCTCTCCCAGCTCCCTTAACCCCCCTGGGCCAAATGATTAATGTCTGGCAGCTTGCAGCCTTGGCGAGAGTTAAAGCCAGAAAACAGTGCCAACATCCAGCAAGCAACATCCAACAACCAGCATCCAGAATCCCGGGTCCAGAGTCCGAGTGTTCCCGGAATGCCAAGCGCAAGTAACCCGAAAAAAAGACAATACGCATAAATCTATGGGGTTGACACTTAGTACCCAAAGACCACAGACTTCAAATGAATTTGTTTTGCAGATCCACGACTGACTCGCTGGATAAAGAGAGGAGGGTGGTCGATGGGAGGTAGGGAGGGGCAGTTGAGTGGCGAGGCGTCATAAAATTGGCAACAAATTGTTTTCACGCCGTTTTAAATACACATTTTTTAGCCGATACTTGGAGACCGTTTAATGAGCGAAACCAAAAGGAACCAACGCAAAAGCGAACCGGGTGACCGGAACGAGAACGGGAACTGCAAAATGCAGAGAGAGAAATAATTTTAGAGATGCTATTAGCTTTACTCTTCTAAAAAGTACATCCATAACCTTTTATTTTGATAAGATATAGGTTAAAGTTTAATATTCTATAAGTAAGTAATCTAAATAGATACTTTATAAACTTACAAAAAAAGTTTTTTTTAAAGAAATTTCTCCCCCTGCATGGTGAACGACATTCAGCGAGTTGACGGACGCTCCACGTTTGAGCGTTACTTGGTCGCTGGACTCGCCAATAAATTTGCGGCTAAGGAGATAAGCTTATAAATTTTAACTGTAATTATGCGACACAAGATTTATGAAGAGTCCGCCGGCCAAGTTTGCCGGCCATCTCAGCCCTTTCAGTCTGGGGATTATTAATGAAACACCAACTTACAGCGAAATGCGCTCACACTTTGCTTTTTGGGTGAGAGAGAGAGGCAGAACTGGAGTGGTGTTACCACTTCTGGAGGGCTTCTAGAGGGCAAAACTAGCTAGAGATTTACGAGCATTTTGGCCATTTGGCGGCGCTTCTAATTCCCTTTGGACTTAATGAGTTTTCGGCTTGGCGCATGCAAATCCAACTCACCCCCTCTTAAACCCTTCAATCTTAGCCGACTTTATTGATCCACGTGTGTGTGTGTGTGCGTGTATGTGTGTGGGTGTGGCTCTTCTCATGAGACAGATCAAAAGAAGAAAAAGAGACGTTGGACCACCCACGTAGCGCCAATCGCTCGAAGAGATCTGCGTATTTGACATTGCTGCTCAGCGAGTGGAGTTGCCTCATTACGCCTGCGCGCAGACAATCGCCAAGATCAAGCTAAGAAGAGTATGAAAAAATCAAGTAAATAAAAAGGGAAAAGAAGAACCACAATAAAAGTATCTTTCAGATACGGGCGTGGGAGCTGCAAACGAAATATCTGCGATAATTTCAGCACGGTCTTCGATTGAGCAAATGAGTTTTAACCTCCGCCGATTATTGAGCTGTTGTAGCTATGGAATGGGTTATAAACCCGATATAAACTTTGAATGGGTTTCTTAATATAAACTTTGAATGGTTATTTTTAATATAAAGCTGGAATTGGTGTGAAACAGGAGACATATCTTTATAGCCATCATAATATAGTTGGTATTAAAAAGATAATCTGCCAAAGGCAAAGGCAAGTGAAAGGTTTTTAGTTCTAGTTAAAAACTTAGTTTTAAGAAGTCTTTTTTAGTTATCAGAAAAGGCATAAAACTATAAGGCTTTACTTAAAAGTAAAATATCAACCATATAGATAAGTTGGCCATAAAAAGAGTTTGGTTTGTAATAAACATTAATATACTAAAATTTATAATAAAGGAAGTCTAGTAATGATATCAAACTAATAAGCATTTTAGAACTTAATAACTTCACGACATTCGCCTGTCATTAAAGTCAAAAAGCAATCCCCCGAAAGCTTTGCTAAGGAAAATCCTAAACAAAAGGAAAACACCTTTTCCCACCTGCTTAAAATCAACAACTTTTTGGGTGGGCTGGGTTAATTATGCAATGAAAATGCCTCAAAGCTGCCTGTGACATATGAAAATGGGGAAATTACATTACGTTTTCATTCGTGCCTGGCCGACTCGAAGTGCCATTCGAGCGGAAGTATCTTGTTAACATGCAAAACAAGCCATTCCCAAGAAAGGGGGGATGGGAGCTGTTTATGAACCCGCCGCCAAAATGTGTGGAGCTGTGGATACGGATACGGACTTCTCTGACTCACCGAAAGTTGGTCTTTGGGAGCCCCTCACCTACCTCTTCAATTCAATTAGGAAATACCAAGGGCAATCGGAACTGGGAACAGCGAACTAGGAATGGGCTTAGAGGTTGGGTGGTGGAGTTTTCATTCGAATGAAAAGCCGCATCGTAAAATCTAACGATGTGGGCCCCACCCTGGGATTGCATTTTCATGGCACATTTGCAGCGCAATTTTAATTGTATCAATGGGCAACCTTACAACCCGTCAGCCCGGCAACGGGGCAACCCTTTTTTTTGGTTCTGGCCTAAACGCGATTGGTCACGCATGTCCGTGCGCTTGAGCAAGGGATTTTTGTTGGTAAATTGGTATTAAGATTGGAAGACCAGGCAATAAACACGTAACCGAAAGCCTAAATAATATTTAAAGTGTTATAAAACTGTCACCAGGACAACCAGGCAGATGTCACTCGAGGGCCTTTGATATTGGTTTCTGTTTCTGTTTCTCGGAGTTTTTGATTAAAACATGGCCAAACCATCTGTGTGACCTGCTGGCCACCAACCACCATCAATTAGACGCACTTCAACTCCCCTGACAGCCCTGGAGAGCTGTCAAAACAGAAATTGATCGCGTCTGGGACTGGGATTGGTATTGGGAACTTTGTGGGTGTGTGTAAACACACACCTGAAGGGTACAAATCAAAACATTACTTGCATAAATTGATGGACAAAGCGATGGACAACCGCAAACGGTGAGAATTCACAATTGGCAAATGACAAACGGTGGCAAGGTCGCACATTCCCAGAAGCCCGATAATAGTACAACACCCCTCTCGCCACCTCTGGGAAAACTCCAGACACCACGTCCTCTGCATACAATTACGGTTAATACGGTGCTCCTCTACTCCAGGGGGAACAGAAGGGGTGTTCAAAAACCCAGCAGGTGGGTAGGAGTACTATCAA